GAAAAAGTTGGGGTTTCTGAGGTGTAAAGCAAAGTGCAGAAGAGGCAGGAAATGTGCCTCAACCTGATGGAGCAGCCTAGGGGGACAATAAAACATACCGTAGATCTCCAGATACACACACACACACACACACAAACAGGCAATTTGGCTCCCACCCCATCAGCAAAATGCAAAGGTTTCTTCAGAAAATGCTCTGTAACTTAATAGCAAGTTACAGTCCTTTTCCGATTTACCTATTGGGCAAAGCTGTGGCTTATTTTAATTACAGTTTATTGAAGAAAGCACAGCTGATTTAAGACCGCACAACGCACTACGTCATAACCCATCCTAGGCAAATCACAATGAATAGTGATCAGCAACACACGGAGCCCAGAATCACACAAGCCACACTAGAGCGGGATGCAAAGCACATATTTACCAAACAAGATCTTTGCCAAGATCACTCGGGGCTTCTCGCACACACACTTACCCACACGTTGTTGTTTTCTGATGAAGGGGACCCAAGGATTCGGCCATCCGCGTGCACAGAATTTGTGTTCAAAGGAGCTTTGGTTACATTTTCCAAGTCTAGAAGGTTTTCTACGGTGACGGCTGTGTGCGGAAAGGAAAAAATAAATAAGGATGAGAAATAAGAATGAGAAATAAGAATACAGGTTAAGTCCTCGACTTACAACCACAAGCGAGCCCAAAATTTATGTTGTTGAGAAATTTGTTAAGTGAGTTTTGCCCCGTTTTACAACTTCTCTTGCCACGTTTCTTAAGTGAATCACTGCAGTTGTTAAATTAGTAATATGGCTGTTAAGTGGATCTGGTTTCCCCCCCTGACTCTGCTTGTTAGAAGGTGGCAAACAGGGATCCTTTGACCCTGGGTCACTGCAACCGTCATAAACGTGAGTCAGTCGTCAAGCATCTGAATGTAAATCACATGACCCTGAGGATGCTACAATGGTCATAAGTGTGTAAAATGGTCATAAGTCACTTTTTCCAGTGCCACTGTAACTTCAAACGGTCACTAAACAAACTGTTGCAAGTCGAGAACTACCTGCAAGAGCCATGCTTAGAAAGCTGTACTGCAGGCTCTTTCTGCTGACTGCCAGCTGCCAGCAGTTGGCAGTTCAATTCTCACTGGCTCAAGGTTGACCCAGCCTTCCATCCTTCCAAGGTTGGTAAAATGAAGAGCCAGATTGTTGGGGGAAATAGGCTGATTCTGTACAACAATATTTCGATTGTTATTGCTATTGCCATTTCTCCCCTCCTTTCCTTGGCCCTGGTGGTGCAATGGTTAGAATGCAGTATTGCAGGAAAACTCTGCCCCCAGCCTGGAGTTCGATCCTGACTGGCTCAAGATTCTTCCGAGGTGGGTAAATGGAGGACCCAAATTGTTGGGGGCAAGAGGGTGACTTTGTAAACTGCTTAGAGAGGGCTGTAAAACACTGTGAAGTGGTACATAAGTCGAAGTGCTATTGCTAATGATGAAGCTTAGGAGGGGAAAGGGTTAAGTTAAGATTTTCTTTCCAACTTGGGGTGGGATGCAAACCTGCATCGAAAACTGCAGAATCCTCTTGAATTTTCCAGAAAGGAGAAAAAAAGCCACAGACCCACAACAGCATCTGTCAATCTGCTAGGCTGAGCTTGCTCCATTTTTTATTTTTTTTTGCAGGAGTCTATAGAGAACTGCAGAAAAACTTCTTCTGTAAGCTGATAAATGTTAACCAACAACCTTTTAAAAGTCCTTTGTTCTCTACTGGTAGCAGCTCTTTCTTCTGATTGATGACCGAGAAATAAAACAGACCCCTTCTCTTGCCCTATACCTTCCCCCCCACCCCAAAGGATCTCAAGGGTCATAAACTAGTTCAAGAAGCTTCTTTCCACTGAAGCGTAACAACAGGAAGCATGAACAATATGTGTGTCCCGGTATGGGCGTACCGGTGCCTGATGTGAGCACCAGGTACCTTTCCGGTATGGTACTCCAGAGGGCCCGCCCACCCTCCTCACCTGTATTTGAGCTGATCGGACCTTCACTGCATGCAGCATACGGTGCCTAAGTGATGCTCCGCCGAGCAGCTGGAGCGTTGTGGACAGTAAGTACGCATATGTGCACGCTGCGTGCATGTGGTGGACGCCTGGCCCAGGTGCACCGTATCAGTTGCAACGGGATCCGGAATCCACCACTGGCACAACCACTTGTTTCAAATGGTATAGGGCAGTGGTAGTCAATCTTTTTATACCTACCGCCCACTTTTGTATCTCTGTTAGTAGTAAAAAAAATACTAACCGCCCACCGGTTCCACAGTAATGGTGATTTATAAAGTAGGGAAGTAACTTTACTTTATAAAATTTATAAAGCAT